ATCGAGAGCTTTCAATTGACCCTCGAACCGGTATGGAAGTCGATCACGCTGCTATTATGAAAATCGAACTAACTTAACACCCGGGACAGGCTTGAAGCATTATATCGCGACAGAGGACATGGGGATTGACACTTCAGCTGCTCTGATTCGCCGCGTGCTCGGTCGCTCAATGCAGCTTGGCCGTCGCTATGGTCGATCTGGGAACAAGGACGATCTCTACGAAGCTCTGCGACTGCTTGGCACTGGTCTTCATTGCCTGGAAGACTACGCCGCTCACTCAAACTACACAGAACTTAGTCTGATTGAACTGGGAGAGACGGACGTATTCCCTCATGTCGGACGTAACACTAAATTGGAAGTTGAAGGTGCCAGTGACTATGTCTATCCAATAGTAACTGGTACATTTGGTGGTGTCGACTTCTTTCATTCGGTTCTTGGGGAGCTGTCTGATAAAACAATGCAGTCCGAACTGCAGTCCCTGGAAGGTGTTATCACTGAATCTGAGAATCAGAGTCCCTCTGAAAGCTTCCTGCAAGATTTGCTGAGCAAAATTCCCGAAGGTCTCATTGGCAGCAGCAACGACCAGGCCGATCAGATGGATGATTTCAAATCCAAGGCAGATGATGCCAGACACGACAGCCAGAACATCAGTCCTCGGGAACCTGAAGAGTGGGCACTTTACTTGAGCAATGTCCACAAACAGATTTACCCGGTCCTTGAATGGCATGACCAAATTTTGAAACAGATCAATGAGGCCATCGAAAAAATACCAGTGTTGCCAGATCTGATCGAGCAAATCCAGGATCAAATCACCGTTTTTGTCTTTTCTATTTTGGCCCCCTACGTTCTGCCCATCATCCAGCAGGTCAAGTCGGAGCTGGAGACTGGTTCTTCTGAAGTCATCCAGAGCAGCCGAGAGCAGCAACACATCGTGTTTAACGACGACGACTGCTCAAACCCGACTCACTCGATGCTCTCCAAGGACCACTTCTCGAACATCCTGAATGAGCCAGCTGGTCGCATTGCATCAGCTGTTGTCGAGTGGTCGGTTCCTCAGCTCATGCAATGCTGGGATGACGAAGACGCTGATATTGACCGAACTCTTGACCGAATCATCTCCGGTGTTTTCCATCATCCCGCTCTACGTGAGTACGGAAACGATGGAGCTCGTGACATTCGCCAGACCATGTTTTCGACGGTTGAGAAGTGGTGGAGTGAGAAAGGGGACGAGGAACGTGATGTTCTCCGTGACCAGCTGAGCCGTGATGGTGTCTACGAAGGTAGAAACCACAAAGATGGCGTACAAGATTGCGGCCACGGGTGTGGCAAGCCGCTAGCCCTTCATCGAGGCCAAGGCCAAAGCTCTGGTGGAGGCCAGCAGTCCGGTAGCTCTGGTCTTGAGGGCTTGGCCTCTCAGGCCATTGGAGGAGGAGCTCTAGGTGGTTTAGTTGGTGGACTTGTGGGAGGCATGAGCTCAATGATCCTCAATGGTGATGACTCCAAGCCGGGGCGGGAGAGACCTGGGTCTCCAAAGTATGACAGCAGAAATGACTATGAGCGTCCATCTCACCATGAAAGCCACGAGCAATATGGAGAGAACTCGTACGGTCAAGCGCCGCCTTCTGGCCCCGGTGGTTATGGGTATCCCAGTGACACAGGCTACGGAAAGCCTCCAGTTCACCACGAAGAGTTCCGTCCTCGTCCCGGTGGATATGAATATCAAAGTGATACGGTCTATGGAGAACCCCCGATGCGTCGCGAAGACTTCGGCGGTTACGCACCTCCACCGGCTGACTACCGCCGCGAGGAGCACTACCAATATCAGTCGGAAAGCCATGGCTACTACCAAGAGGAAAGAAAAGAGACGGTCAAGCAAACCTCGCAATACGGGTATGGGGAAGGCCAAACTCCTGCTTTTGGGGGTATGGAACGCCCAGCCTACGGTGAAGGATTTGCAAAGTAAGTTTGTTTGAATTATCTGGTTAAATTGTCCCATATTGATCAAATGTGTACAGAGAGACCTCTTCCGGCTATGGTAGACCACAGCCTGGCTATAACGAGTTTGAGAATCCTGGCTATAGACAGGAAGAAGGTTCTGGCCAGCGGTTCGATGGCGGCGGCGATGAGTATCGCATCGAGCGCCATTATGAGCATGAAGAGCGCCCCCAATACGGTTCGGGCTCTCGGAGTGGTAGTGATGATGAAAACCGTTCTCGTCGGCACCATCACCACCACCACCACCACCACCATCATGAACGGTCTGGTTCAGATTCTTCAGATTAGGGGTTACGACATTGCTACCCTGGTGTAGTTTGGGCTACTGAAATCGCAACGGATGGACTGATGAAGACATCTACCATTCCTTAACTTCTCCGGCTACCGGCTGCTCGGTGCGAACAACCTTGTCGCAGTTGAGCAGGCGAAGCGGGTCAAGAGCCAATTTCAGCTATAATGAGAACATGGATGTTAGCGGTCATGGTTGATAGGAGTAGTAGACAAAGCTATAGGAACGGAGTAGACTTACTCGGCGCATGGCATCCACTGTAGATTCGCCCAATTCGTGTTCGAGGTAGTCTCGCTTGACGAGACCGACGCCATGTTCACCAGTGACGGTACCTTCCATCTCCACGGCACGCTTCACCATCCGGTGAACAACACCCTCGGCTGTCTTCTTTTCGCTATTATTGAACAAAATGATGGCTAGGGGGTTGTTAGATCAAACCGTACCACCAACGTATATCATTCTGGGGAGCCTTACCGTGAAAATTGCCATCTCCGACGTGACCACAGATTCCAGCCAACAGGCCACTCTTGGTCATGTCCTCCTTGGTAGCCTCAATGATATCGGGTAACCTGCTCATTGGAACTGCGACATCTGTCGTCCAGACGTGGTCATCGGGGGTTCTCTTCATTGCCATGACACTCCACAAGGCCTCCTTGCGGGCGCTCCAAAGTTCTTGCATCTCTTCCTCACCACGGGCGAACTCAAAGGACTTGCCCGAGGCACTAGTTACAATCTTCTGCACCATACTGATCTGCTCCTTGACCGCCGCTGGGGTTCCGGTGAACTTGAAGAAGAGAGTTGGAGACTCCTTCCACTGGCGGCTGGTCGTCTTGCTGGCATTGATGCACTTCATCTGGATATCATCCAAAATCTCAACACCGGCCACGGGAATACCCGCCTCCACCACATTTGTCACACACTCAGCAGCGTTCTGAATGGAGCCAAAGCTTGCGACTGCCACACTCTGGCTCTTGGGCTTGACTGTCAGCTTCAGTGTCGCCTCTGTGACCAAGCCAAGAGTGCCTTCACTTCCAATGAAGAGCTTAGTCAGGTCATAACCAGCACTGGACTTGCGGGGTCGCTGCCGAGTCTTAATGACGGTTCCATCAGCAAGGACGACAGTCAGCGAAAGTACCCATTCGCGCATAGTGCCGTATCTGTATGCATTAGTTCCCGAGCAGCCGGTTCCCACCATGCCTCCAATCATGGCACCTGGACCAGGGTCTGGGGGAAAGAACAGTCCATCCTTGGCGATTTCCTCGTTCAACTCCTCCCATCCGACCGCAGGCTGCACCACGACATCTAAATCACGCTTGTGTAGCTGCAAGATGCGGTCCATGCGACGGAAGTCAATGCAGACTCCACCTCTCGTGGACGCATAGTGGCCCTCCAAGCTTGTGCCACCGGAATAAGGGGTTACGGGGATCACGCGCTGGTGGCAGATCTTCATGATCTTCGAGACCTCCTCGGTACTGGACGGGTAGAGAATCAAGAAGGGTTTCTCACCCTCCTTGGGCGAGTAAGACGACCAATCCGACCCGGAATGTGAGGCCAAATCACCATCTGCAGTCGAGACATTCTCCTTTCCCAGAATGTCCACGAAATCGGCCCAGGCGGCTTGAAGATTGGATTTCGAGATGTTGTGTTTCGGCGCCTCAATCTCGGATAGAGAGGTGGTAGACGAGATAGGGAGGGCAGCGGGCTTGATGGATCCTAGGTAATAAGCACCGGTCGAAAAAAAGATCAAAGCTATAACACCGTTAGCAAAAAACCCGAGGCAAGAAAATGTCAGTTCTTCGCATACCAAAGACCAGCGCTGCCGAGCGGCCAGCTGGGGATTGAGTCTGCTGATACTGGGCGAAGCGTTCTTGCTCTGCACGTTCGCGCTTAAGACGCTGCTGTGTGCTTTCGTACAATTGACTCTTGAACGATTGGTTTTCCTTGGCCCGCTTAGCCGATGCTCCGAACTGGCGCTGTTGCAGGAAGCGAGCGGGAGCAGGTCGGACCCGGAGACTGCGCATCGCCCCCTGCAAGGCGAGAGCATTATATCGGACCATGATGTTGGTGAGGTTGATGTGAAGGAGCGGACCTTTGCAGGTGAAGTTGGAGATGTCTCCGGACCGAGTCCCGAGTCTTGGCGGGCCAGTACTCCCGTAGATGTAAGCAGATTCCGGTACCTACTGGGTACCTACGTGTACCTATAATAGCATTAAGTAATTATTTGAGATCATGTTATTGCGAGTATTGTGTTATATATTCAACATGGGATACGGGATATGGATCTAAGAGTACAGCGAATAGACATATACAATACCTGATAATTTATTATAATATTACTGAGACAGACACAAAAGAGGTGAAAATGACCACGGGGTAGTTAACTTAACTAACTTAACTTGGAATAACAAGTCACCCTGAGGTCATATGTATTGCCTCTTTCGGACATCATTGGGAAAGGTATCCCCGCGAGACCCTCACCGGTTAATTCTAGCGGCTAAAAGAGATATCCTGTATCCACCTCTTCTGGGGGAGCTGTCGGTTTAATTCGATTCGATTTAATTCTCCCGGTCCTTGAGACTATATATATTATATTCTGGGTCACCTGGACATTCCTTTTTATACCACCTTTCTTTCTCTCTCGACTTCCCCCCACATTGCTTCCCCCGGAATTCACACCTTACTCTCCCCCTCCACCCCCAACCGACATACATTCACAATGGCCACAGCCCAGGTAGGAGTTAGTTCTATTCAATGTTTGGAACCAGCCTAACAAAGGGTAGAATCTCTCCTTCGTCCTCGAGGGCATTCACAAGGTCAAGTTCGAAGACCGACCGATCCCGGAATTGAAGGACCCCCACGATGTGATGATCAATGTAAAGTACACTGGTATCTGTGGCAGTGACGTATGTCTTCTACGAATCACAACATGACAGCAGACTGACATCCGGGAAACAGGTACACTACTGGGAGCACGGAGCGATCGGTTCGTTTGTCGTCAAAGATCCGATGGTCCTCGGACACGAGTCGGCAGGTATCATCAGCAAGGTCGGATCGGCAGTCAAGGCCTTGAAGGTAGGTGACCGGGTCGCCATGGAACCCGGTATCTCGTGCCGCCGGTGCGAGCCCTGCAAGGCCGGAAAGTACAACCTGTGCGAGAACATGGCCTTTGCTGCTACCCCGCCATATGACGGAACCCTCGCCAAGTACTATGTTCTCCCCGAGGACTTCTGCTACAAGCTTCCTGAGCAGATGTCTCTCCAGGAGGGTGCCCTCGTGGAACCCCTCAGTGTCGCGGTCCACATTGTGCGCCAAGCTGGTGTCAGCCCGGGCCAGTCGGTCGTCGTGTTCGGAGCTGGCCCCGTGGGCCTGCTGTGCTGCGCCGTGGCGACTGCCTTTGGTGCCTCCAAGGTGGTTGCCGTGGATATCCAGCAGTCCCGTCTGGACTTTGCGCAACAGTACGGCGTGACGTCGACCTTTACGCCCAGCAAGGTCCCGGCCACGGAGAACGCAGAGCGTCTGCGGCAGGAGAACGACCTGGGAGCTGGTGCCGACGTGGCAATTGATGCCTCTGGAGCTGAGCCCTCTGTTCACACCGGCATCCACGTCCTGCGCAACGGTGGTACGTACGTGCAGGGTGGCATGGGCCGCAGCGAGATCCAATTCCCCATCATGGCGGCCTGCTCCAAGGAGCTCAACATCAAGGGTAGCTTCCGCTATGGCAGCGGAGACTACAAGCTTGCAGTCGGCCTGGTCTCGAGCGGCAAGGTGGACGTCAAGAAGCTAATTACCGGCACGGTCAAGTTCGAGCAGGCCGAGCAAGCCTTTACGGAGGTCAAGGCTGGCAAGGGTATCAAGACCTTGATTGCTGGAATTGATGAGTAAGTGTCCGAATCTCGGGATTCATTGGGGCAAACGGGGAGTTGTGATTTAGCAGGATTTTGATGAGAGATGACCCAAAAGTTGTGAGCAATGAAATGACTCCTGAGAGTCAAGAAATGATTAAGTACTCTGAACTCGTGAATTTCGAGCTCTTGAATAATGTGACATCCGTAGAAAGGATCACGAACGAATGTCAATAGGGGTATCGTGCAGCTGGTAAAAGAAAGACCAAGTGTCAAAACATCGCCTAAAATCAGAAAAATGCAGTTGGAGATCAACAACACCCTTGGTTCCTGCGGCTACCAGAGCCACCCAAGCGGAATACATCCTCCCACTCTCTCATTCCACCCTTCCAGCCATTCCCAGTGCCAGCTCTGCTTTTTCGCCTGGGAGCCCTGCGCTGCAGAGGCATGGAATTCTCATCCAATGTGGCTCGACTTCTGATACTCGAGGCATCACTGCCATGACCGTATAGACCGCCATCACCGTACTGGATGCCACTCTGCGGGTCATCAGGGTCAATCTCCCCGAGCTCGATCTTGGTCAAGATGATGCGCGCTAGCCGGTTGAAAACCTCCTCAACGCCATCCCCAGTCAAGGCGGATATCTCAACCGCAACGGGGATATTTGACTTTGCGGCCCAGCGAGACGTCTCTTCCGAGCTCACCTCACGACCTTCAGACGCGAGAGTGGCTGTCAGTCTGGTCCCTGGGCCCAAATGACTCGAGCGAATGGAGCCATTCGCATCCCACGGCAGAGACGACATTCTGCTTGATGTACTGGACGGCGTCGGGGGAGGGCGTGTATTATCCTCCAACTCCGATTGGGCATCAGATGCGAGGTCGGCCTTATTTCCAGCTAGGATGACCGACAAGTTCGGGGAGGCGAGGGCGCGCGCGTCCATGAGGAAGGTCGGAAGGGAGGCGAAGGAGGTGTAGGAAGCGACATCGTAGATGAGAATAGCGCCCGCAGCGCCACGATAGTATGATCTGGAGACCGATCGAAAGCGTTCGGTGCCGGCGGTATCCCAGAGTTGAAGCTTGATTCGTATCCGTCGCGAACCCGTACCCAGTTTCACAATGCGGGACGCGAACTCGACGCCGATGGTTTGTGATGAGAGTACTCGCCCTGTCCACATGTTAGCCTATCACTCGGCCCAGGATCGGGGGGTTTGGCGTACACTCATCCTTCACGAATCGATGTAATACACAGGACCTGTAACAGAGGCGTCAATGACTCACATACCACAGCAGGATCCACGTGTTACTCACTTGCCAGCACCGCTTGGTCCCAGGAGGATGACCTTGGCGAGGTAATCGTACATACTCCCCAGCTCCTAGGCACCGTTAGATCAGCCTCATCGGCTCAGGAGGGGTTCATACCTGGTCTGGGGCTGAGGATACGGAGGATGCATTTGAAAGACCCCGTTGACGTGCCATGGCCGAGAGGCCTGAAATGTGGATGGGGGAAGGTGAAGATCAAAGGAGAAAGCCGTCGGTGCCCGATACCGGTCGGGTCTACTACTCTTTCCACTTATTCTTTTTTTACTCTTAACACAATTAATTTATCTGACGTCTGATCCAACACCGGAAACGGGCGACTAAACAGTATATCGGACCGAGATATATATGGCACCTCATGCCCAACCCTTGGACTCATTCACCATATATGGCTTAGGCCCAAGGCTCAAGAGACACGGCAGTGCAAACTCAGATGGATTAACTTAATTAACTTAATAAAGATTCTGGAAAGTTGCCCCAAGTGGATTGTGGCAGTGTCTTCGTACTCCGTGGGAGTATACGTGGGAGTATATAAGATAGTCGCTCTCGTATTGACCCGCCCAGGGTTCGAGGCTGAGAGGCTGAGTCCCTTAGACTTTGACCCTTTCATCATTTTCCTGTGTGGAACTGAACAGCAAAGTCTTGATTTGCTCTTAACAGGGCGCACTTCGATCAGCATTTCGTCATCTCTCGCAACTTTTATATATGACGCTCTCTTCTTCCACAACTTCACCCCCCTATTTATATCTACACAACACAAACTCATAAACTCACAACTGTTTATCACCATGAAGCTGACGTGGGCAACATCCCTTCTCCTGCTCTCGACCGGGGTCACCTCCTTGACAATCCCTTCAACTGATCTCCTTGAGCGCCTGGACTCGGTAGATACCACCCAAGATATCTCCGAGTTTGTGGATCTCGAGAAACGACGCGGCGGAGGTGGCGGCCGTGGTGGAGGCTCTAGCGGAGGTAGCAGTGGTGGCCGTTCCGGCAGCTCATCTGGCAGCTCTTCGGGTAGTTCAAGTGGCAGCAGTGGTAGCAGTGGTAGCAGCGGTTCCAGTGGTTCTAGCGGTAGCTCCGGTAGTCGAAGTGGCTCGTCCAGCAACGTTGGCGGCACAACGTCCTCTGGTTCCGGCACTCGGGCTACCTACGGCGGAGGCAGCTACTATGCCGGCGGGGCCACAACTCCTTACCGATCTGGCTCACGCTCCGCTGGCGGCATTGCCCCCTACGTCCTCGGCGGTGCAGCCCTAGGCTTCTTCCCGGGCCTCTGGCTATACAGCGCCTACGCCTACCCCTACAGCAACAACTATCACTACATGAACCAGAACACTCACAAGAACGAGTCTCTGCCGGTCGTCTGTGTGTGCCAGGAGTACTCGGAGTGTGGATGCGACAACAACAACAATAGCACCTACTACGAGTCGCTCTTCAACGGCACCGTGCCCAAGAACTCCAGTGTCGTGCGTGTGGTGAAGGAGAACGGCACCGAGACCATCTATATCAACGGCACTCTGCCCAACGGCACCACCCAGGCCGATAGCAGTTTGAACACCTCGGCCGGTAGCCCTATGATGACGACCCTGCTGCATTCCAGCGGATATTGGGTGACTGTGGCTCTGGTTGTGACGGCTGTATGGTCCTTCTAAACCACTGAGAGGACTTGATTTTTGACCGGGCAATGTCCAACCTGGCTAATGAGGTTTGATATGCTATGAAAAGAGATGATTGGGAGGTCTGCTTTGCTTTTGATACCCCGACTTGGGCATTTGTCCTTGCTTTGCACCCTGTACAATAGAGTTATTGTTATGTCCCCGTCGGATCACCTTGCTGATTCGTTAATCTACTTGATGAAAATGAACTAGGCTTCATTACCGAAACTGGCAAAGAGGCCGGACAGGTGTGGAATGTAAACTGTCATGGGTAAATTGTAAACTTTGCTTCGAAGAGAACCAGAAGAGAATAGAGCAATGTTCACTGCATAGCATTCAACTATAGAAGATAAAGTGAAGATGCAGTGAAGATCAACATTCCAGTGGTCGCCCCGGGGCCGAGGGGAGATATGTAACATCTCCCTAGTGCGCAACGGGCTAAGCGCGACTCCCCTTAGATTAACTCATTTCCTCACTTCCTCACTTTCTCACTTTCTCACTTCTTCTTCATCCCAACTTCCTGTGTAAACAGTGTCACTCTTTTGTCCCAGACACGGGCTGTCTCCTTCTTTTCCAGCTCCATTCACTCCTTTTTCTCATTCCGTTGATCTAAATACCTTGTATCAACATCATAACATCACATACCCACAATGCACTTCGCCAAGGCTCTTGTTTTCCTCTCGGCCATTGCGCCTGTCGCTTTCGCAGCTGAAGCTGCCTCAGCTCCTGCTAGCACTAAGACTCTCACCCTGGTGCCCTCTGGATACACTCCTCCTCCGTCATCCACCCCGACTCCAACTTCGACCCCGACCATTTCGTCGACCTGGACCCCGATCATGTCCACTAGCACTCCCGTCTCCTCGAGCGCTGCCTCTCTCACCCGGATCCCTAGCTCCTCTACTCCCTTGGTCAAGGCCACTGGTGTAGTCTCCGGCTCCACCACCCCGGCCCCTTCCACTCCTGTCAGCGGCGCGACCTCGCTCCAGTTCTCTGGTGCCATGGCCGCCGGTGCCGCCGCCATCGCCGGTCTTCTTCTGGTTTAAATGTACAGCCAATGGCCAATTTGAATCGCGAATTTCCTGGCTCCCAGATCTTGATGATCTCGACATTTGTCGCTTCTAGTCAGCTTTAGCCTCGGTGGCTGGACTGCTAACCATTCGACAATGGTTCCACCTGACATTTCACATGTCTCTATTCTGGATCTTTTCTTCTCTATATATTTTTTTTCACCGACATACCACCTTTAACCTTTATTTCTACTTGGTTGCGGTACTTTGATGTGATTTCCGATTTTCTGACATTTATACCCTTCTTTACATTGTTGATTTTCGCTTCCTGATGTCATCCAAGCTTTTCACTTTTTAATACTTATTGTCGTCTTGGTTGACCTTGGATCCTTTTTTCTCTCTCTTGGCGTTGATGCTTGCATCTGTGCCCTTGAATTTTATAACCCTGTCAATTGACGAGCGTAAGATTTACGAGTTTTACTTTTGATTTGGCAATTCATTCTGTAGTGTGAATTTGCACAGTAATATCAACTCAGATCAATATCTTCGTGTAGATTACATTACATTCATGGATTGGATGCGGTGTTACAAAACTTCTACCCAGATGACTCCAAACATTGAATGTTCTCGGAGCTAACTTAATCGTGATGACTTCGAGATAACTTGGAGAGGATTGAAATTGATCTTATCTACTACAACAGTCCCAAATCGTGATCCTGAAAATATCGTACAGAAAGCTATAACGGCTTAGTCCTCCTGCTTGAAGGTAGCCTCGTATCTGCAGCAAATGTCAGCCAAAATCCAATACAAATACAACCCACAACGGCAACACATACCTCTTGCCTCGGAAGGCCCACAATCCCCAATTACCACACGAGACATCGTGAGGATCCTGGTCATTCAGATCCCAGCGCAGACTGCGGAAGATGTTCTCACCAGGCTCAAGTAGCACATCAAATTCACCCCGACACTTCTCACTAACCCAATTGATATCGCGCTCCATATCCCACTGCGTGTACCCAGTGCAGAGAATAGGGACTTTGGTCTCAAGAAGCTGAGGC